GAACAATATGGTGGGTGTTGAAGCAATTCGAAGCCCAAAGCATGAATTTTGGCCATAGTTTTCACTGACTTGTGACATGGTACATTGTCTTGGTGGAACTTTCTTTTTCTTAAAATGTGGCCCGTTTTCAGCACTTGTGTAGTTCAAACGTTCCTAAAACTTTATGTAATGTTTGCTATTTTATTTTATTTTTTAAGGTATTTAATAAAAATTATTCCATGCGCATTCCAAAATACAGACGCCTCAACCTTGCCAGCCAACTCTTGCGTCTTGCCACGCTTTTGAGCGGGTTTATTGTGTGCAGTCCACTCGGATGACGGGCCATGTTTCACCCATTGTCACATGTCGATGCAAAACCTTCTTGAGATTATTACGCTTGAACATCTCCAAGCGCTACTTCGAATCATTAACCCGTCGTTTTTTGTTTTTTTTTTTTTTTTTTATCTAAAGTGAGCCCGAGCGTTACCCACTTTGTACAGAGCTTTTTCTTACTAAACTATTCGAGGATGATGTGTTGTACATGTTCATGTTGATATCTTTAGGATGCCTGCTATCTCGATCAACTTAACTTGTTGGTCATTTAAAATTATTTTGTTGACTTTTTTGATGTCTTCACAGGTAACAACCTCTTTATTGCGTACACTGTGTTCACCGACTTTGGTGCTTGATTCACCAAGCCTAAGCTTAGCATAATATAACCAAGATGATTGATTTTGCTAGGTGTTCAGAAACTTGTCTTAAAGCCAATTTTTTGCTTCAACTATATTTTTCCTCTTCCTCCGGCAATATTTTATCCATACGCAAAATCCATTTTTATCCATTTTTTTACAATAACAAAAGTTGTTTCAGTCAAATTGACATACTTCGCAAACTAATGATCTGTCAGCTGTAAAATTTATATACGCACCTTTATAAGGTTAGGTTAAGATTTAATTTCAGCAGCGTCATCTATGTGTCAGGCCGAAGACCTTTCAATTGACTCGTTAATTAGTAGCACTATGTACTTCTCAGACAAACAGTAGATCAAATAAATTGCTGGCTACAAACTTGTTGCAGATCTTTACTGCTGAAATTAGTGAATTCATTTCAACACAACCATGACATGACCAGACAATAGTTATATACAATCTGTCACTGCTTCCGAAGCAATTAATTGCACTCAATACAAATTTAATGCGGCGCCTTCCCTCAACCACCACCCTCCATTTTCCAAATGCAATTATAACTCAATTTTTTCTTGGACAACTCTCTTTTCACTTTCTCTTCGCTTTGTTCGGCGCTTTGAATTACACTTAATTCGTTTCTTCATTTACGGCGTGGCACTTTCAGCTAACGCACCGCCAAAGCCCATTAGCCCGCAAAAATCAATTTAACCCCACAAATGACGCCAAGTGCAAGGAGAAAAAGTGCAGAAATAAAATTCAATTATCGCTTTTAAATTAAACTGCCACTTCCGGTTTTGATGACATTATAATCAGTTGATTGCGAGGTGGTGAGCCGTGACAGGCGGGGGGCGGCGCTAAAGTGCTCTTACTGCGGTTGCAACGTTAGCATAATAACCGATTAAGCCGGCAAGCGGACGAGCGGACGAGCGACGAGCGACGAGCGGATGCACGAGTGAGAGGGGGGCGCGCGCGGTTGTATTTGCTTTTTGTTATTTGGTTATTGGTGGTCGCCAGTCATCGGCGCTGCAGTTGCAATTGACACGCTCGGCTAATGGCAGTTGGTTAACGGACGCGGATTGAGTGGCTAACTGAGTTGTAGGTTAGCCGCTCGATTGCTTTGCCGACTTCCATCCACATGCAGACAAACAAATCTACTTTATATTCATATAGTTACACTTTTTGTTGTACACATATATTAGGGTGGCACTTATTAGTTCAGTTTAGTATAGTTTTTAGGATCACCCTTGTAATAATTAGTTCGAAACAATAATTTTAGTTACGATTGTAGCTGGTTGAAGTAAGTCCACCTTCTAGACGATCCCCCTAAACAAGTTTAAGCCTTTAACAGCTTGAATCTCACACCGTAAGCCCTTCAGGTCCTGTTGAGTTCTAGGAGTCTTTCGTAACATGAAATTCAACTAGTTTTATAAAGGATTCTGTTATATGCTATAGATCCAAACTTAACCCAGCTCAACCATATTAAGTACTAACGGGTTTTTCAATAGGAACGCTACAAAAGTAGACTGATAGAGGCAGCAAACGACGGCATATTTTCCCCGCTTGTTTGCTGTTTCTCTTCAGTAAGGTTTGCCATTTTATCATGGAAAGATATACGATCCAACAACGAGTCGAAATTATAAAAATTTACTACCAAAATTCGGAGCCAGTGGCCTCAACTTTAAGGATGCTACATACAATTTATGGTCTTCATGTTCGTTCTATCAGGTCAACGATTGAGCGTCTAGTGAAAATATTTGAATCCACAGGCACTGTACAAAATGTTCCCGTACCAGTGAGACAAAGAAATAACCGAAGTGGCGAGAATATTATTGTCGCGAATAGCGAATCAATTGAGGAAGACCCAAATCAGTCTCTCACACGGCGTTCTCAAGCGTTAAGCATCTCAGTAACGTCGTGGTGGCGAATTTTGCAACAAAATCTTGGCCTACATCCATATAAGATCAAATTGATAAACGAATATTTTTGGCTCGAATTTGATGATATGGATTTGGACAATATGTGGTTCCAACAGGACGGTGCTAACAGCCACACAGTGAATGTCGCAATCGAATTTATTGAAAACCAAGTTTGATGAAATGGCTCAGTCAATTGGTCGCATCGGACGAAAACTGGGTTCAGCGTCTGGAGTTCTGCAAGCCGGCTCTTGGTGGTCATGTAAATTAAATCGAAATCCATATATAATGGCATCGAATATGCTTTCACAGAAATAAAGAATTTCATTGGATTATTAACCGTTGATCGTTTTTTTTTAATTTAATCTTTTGTAATGTCCTTTTTGAAAAACCCTACCATTATGTCGAATGAGGTGCGCAGATTAGAAACCTTCTCTTTACGATTAAGCTCCACCCTAATATAGCTATTTACAACGCAATTTACATATATGTAGTGTTGGTCGTTTAACATTGCAATTGATTTCCACTGTGTGCTGTGTCGCAAGAGTAGAGGAAAGGATGTGAACGAAAACTAATCAACTTGTCATTGTTTTGCATACAAGAGGCTTGGCGCGCACAAAAACAATGCCGCCTGCAGTTTTCTATCCAATATTGGGCTTCTTTGCAATTTGTTCAATTTTTATTATTATTTCTTGATTTTTCTAGCTTCAGCTACAGCGCCTTCTTCAGCGATGCCACTATTTATATACAGTTATTTTAGAAACTGCCACGGTGGCGAGTTGTGTTCGCTGATGCAAGCTCCATTGACATACGTCAACGCTTGAAAGCGGCGTGTCATGCTCAGATCTTTTAGCCATAACGCAGCTGTCAATATTCCGTGGCGGTTTCGCAATATTAATTGGCGCAAAGAAGTTATTTAACGCAAAAGCTGTCAATTAAATTTATCGCGAAAACGGCGGTCGGTCGCAATTGCAAGTCGTGCCGCTGAAGGAAATGCAAGAAAAGTCGGTAAATGGTCATGCGACCAGGGTCGTTGCACCTGTTGCCGAGAGGAACTTCCATTAGGTTAAGTTGAAGAAAATATTTCCGAAGGATATATGGGGGAGATGGCTGGATTAAAGAGTAAACAAGGTGAGCCATTTCGAGCTACTTTTTTTTTTTAAAGAAAAACCACAAAAACTTCAAACTTAGTGGGGAATGTTTATTATCTTTTTAAAGCATCTTCTTTTCGTTTTCAAATATTGGCCGCGACTACGTCTCAGATTATCCATAAGTTAAGAGTTGGCAACGTCTCACGGCTATGAAGAATATATTCTTTACCTACTCAGAACAAAACAAAAAAAAAAAAAAAAAAAAAAAAAAAAAAAAAAAAAAAAAAAAAAAAAAAAAAAAAAATGTGAACTGCCATGAAAACCACTTTATCAGGTTCTATTCCGCATCGAGACTGAGCATTTTGAAGCTCATGACGAGTGGTTTCATAAATTTGATCCACACTGACAAACAACAAAAAACAAAAAAAAAAAAAAAAAAAAATACCATCTTCACGAATTCTAATACAAATCTTTAATGATTGCTTTAAAACAGACTCCTTTTGAGCCAATACAAGCACGCCAGCGAATGACTTTTGATGGGCTCAAGGGACTCACAGCGCATTTTCTGAAACGAACTTTTCACTTTCGCAAACATAAAAAAATTAAAAGAAGACACGTAGCGAAAAATGCAGCAATTTCTGACGACAAGTCCAAAGCGTTTGAAGTAGACGCATCAAACCGGCTAATTGATCGATTGATTCTATGCGACGAATTCATAAAGAGACGCATGTAAAACGATGGCATCACCTTGCTTTCTACCAGTTTTCCAGTTTGGGCTCATTCTTAGAATGTCATTCTCTGGAAACCCCGTTATAGTTTCGATGTCATGTTCATAATTCAAGAAACTCAAAAAACCATGTCGTGGTTTGGTGCATTATAAATTTGTTCTGAATGGACAGATGGTCAATAAGAACTTCTATTTAGCCGTATTGAGACGTGTGCGGGATTTTACTCGTACGCAATGACAATCTCGTCGAGCCAGGATTGTGACCGAATTTAAAGCTATAAACGCATTGAGTACCATCGATCAACCACTGTATTCACCAGATTTGGCTCCATGTGATTTTTTCCTGTTCTCCAAATTGACATTGGCCGGGGAACCCATTTTCAATCGATCCAAGACATAAAACAAAAATCGCTGAAGAAACTATAGGCCACCCCAAAAAGTGCTTATGAAAAGTGTTTCGAGGACTGGAAAAATTGCTGGCACAAGTGCATTACATCTGGTGGGGATTACTTTGAAGGCGGCAAAATTAATATTGGTGTATATTTTTATAATATTTTTTATTTACAATATTTTTTGTCAAAATGTATATACGAGTACCATATACTTCATTACTATCATAGGGTGTTTGCTAAGTGTTCCTAATCTTTACTAAATACTCCAATAAAAATACAATAGTAGGCCAACAAAACGTGCACTTTAAAAAATGTAGTGTTATTGTTGTGTTTGGTTTTTGTTTTTAACCTTCGAGCGCTAATGTAATCAGTTAGCGTCTTACAACTTTGTTGTCATATATATAATGAGTGCGTGTGTTTTTGTTTTCCTTGTTGTTGCTATAGGACCATGCCATTGCCTGCCGCCGACGTGGCCTTAAGCTGTGGCCAAAGTGCTGGTGGCTGTAATAGCCAGTTGTTTTATTTGTATTGTTGTGTTGAGTGCATGCTAATATTGCTGCAAACAAATGCCTTCATTGTTGTTATTATTGCTATGAGGTTGCAGCATTAACTGTGTTCTGTTGTGGTTGCTTTTAGCGCAGCCACAATATTGCCCTCTGAACGCTGTGCTTTGACAGGCACCGCCGATGGCGACCGGCGCACCAGTTGCAGCTCGATGGCCGCTGTCGGTCCTTCTGCCGTCACTGTTGTGTCACCAATACAACTTAATCGCATTTTCAACACATAATCAGCACTTTCCGCTGCGGTTGCTTGCAACAACGCCGTCGTGTCAATGGAAGCTCTGGAAGAGATGTGAAAATTTTTTATGAAAAAAGCATGTTTATTAAATGTGTTTGGAGGACATTTTTTAATGACTTTACAAATTTGCACTTTTAGAGGTGCTTGTTGTTGTGAAATTAAGTTTAAAATGCTTTTAATAAATTTAAAGTCTTGAAAGCGTGACCTCGCTGCCGCAGAGCTGAAGCGGTTAGAAAATTATGCAAGTTCAGCAGCAATGGCGGGCACTTGTAAGCGTTTTTTTGTAGTTGAACTCTTTCACTTTGACATTTCTCAATGGTCGTTTTGCCTTTTTATAGCAAAGGATTCCGCTGGAGTGGCGTCTTTTGGTCACATTTTATTTCCCTTCTCTTCTCTTGCACTTCAGCCGCTGCTGCGAGCAACACAAAAGCTTGTCAATACGTAAGGGTCTCACGTACACTCACATACGCACACAAGCACACATATTAGATGCACTCATATACTTACTCTTGCGCTTTTATTCTAATCCAACATTCCCTAGTTTGCTCTAGTTGCTTCTCAATATGCCTCGAGTGCACATCCCCACTGCTTCCTCCTATATCTTGCTCGGCTTTGTGCATATCTTTTACATCCTTGTTGTCCTTGGCGTTTGGTTCGTCTACGCAATCCGCATTGTCCTTCTGGTCCACTCCACGCCACGCATCACTGAGCGCATTGTCCTCATTGCAGTGCATCGAATTGTTGTTGTTGGTCTTGATTATGTTGTTGTTATTGTAGTTGTCATTATTGTTGTTGCTGCTGTTGTTTGCACTTTCTTTTCCGCCCGCTTCCAGTATGAGCACCACATCCGCCAGAGGCTGCCGCAATGGCACAGCGACGAGCTCATCACCAGCAAAGCTCAGTATTGGCAAGCGATGCTCCACTTTGACATGCCGCTGTAACTGTGAAGAGGCTGTAAGTAAGTAAGGCAGTGAGTGTAGAAATTCAATACTCAAAATTCAAATGATAAGGAAATTTTTTTCTACGAAAGTATCTTAAATGTGCTGCTTTTAATGACATGGGATTTTAATTTGTTGATGAGAAGCGCTGTCTTGACTAGAAAAGGCCAAGCAGCTGTGCATGTGGAAGCCAATTCCGCAAGATGCAATGAGTCCGAGGTTAATTATTACAAGCAAAGAGGGGGTTATATGCAAAAAACGCGGGTTGACGAGCAGATTCAGTACTCCACTGAACTAAGAAAGCTGTTCAGCTAGCTCACGAAAGCCTTTGAAAGCTCAGCAATATATCCAATTTTTAATCGGATTATTTTTAAAAGGCAGTTCTCCAACAGGTTTGGTCGCAGTCGGGATATTAAAAAAACTAATAAACTTACAGCGACCTTACTTACATTTCGAATAACGAAATTACTGTGACTTCGAGTTTCACGTTTATATTAAACTTAGCCTTCGAACTCTCAGTGAAAAAGATTAAAATTCTCTGAATTAGACTGTCAGTTCGAAGTGCTCAAATGAAACCAAGAACCGGTTACATAGTTTGGTTCGGCTTTTCATTGTCGACACAATTGCACAGAAAAGTCGGTAATTTAAGCAACCATGAATTGGTTTCGAAGTAAGGTTGCTTAAGAGAACCCGAATGAGTCCATACGCCTCTAGGCGCAACAAATGGAGCTGTGCCTATCCGCTTCAAGGAAGACTTTACGGAAGAATTGTGCTTTGCTGACAAAATCCAACTCGTGCAAGCATTGAAGCCGAACGATCAAAACGAGGTAAGCATCGATCCAGATTTTCACAAGAAATTTTCTTTAGCCATTGAGCTCAATTCTGGTTGACTGGGTACGTTAATAAACAAAATTATCGCATTTGGACGGCAGACGGCAGACGGCAGACACACTGTGGACAGAAAGAATCATTGCTTAACACTTTTCAAAAATGAAGAAAGCCATATTTTAGAGTCAGTTGGGAACGAGAGCCATAATTGAAGATATTTTCGTGCCTGAATCGGTGGATGTTAATCTGAACGACCTTTGGTTTCAGCACATCAGTGTTGTATGCCATACAACCAGTGAAGCAATCAATTTGTTGAATGCAACTTTCGATGAGCATATATATATATAGTATGTGAAGTCGCCTATAAGCCTTTCGTTGGACTATTTTCTATGGGGTTATACAAAGAAAGCTCTGCCAACAGGCAAAACTCAACTTCGGACTGAGTAGGCAACTGAGAAGTCGACGTCCAAAAACCAAAAACTATAAGCCACTCATAATTCCCGCCCTGCTATATGGTGCAAAGGCATGGACGATGACAACATCTGCAGAATCGACGTTGCGAGTTTGCGAGAGAAAGGTTCTGCGAAAGATTTATGGTCCTTTGCGCGTTGGCCACGTCGAATATCGCATTCGATGAACGATGAGCTGTGTGAGATATACGACGAGCGAGCGAGACGAAAGACGAAAACACTCCAGCTCTGAAGATATTTGGCGCTGTATCCGCCGGAGGAAGCAGAGGAAGGGGAAGACCTCCACTTCGTTGGAAGGACCAGGTGGAGAAGGACCTGGCTTCACTTGAAATCTCCAATTGGCGCCGCGTAGCGAAAAGAGGAAACGACTGGCGCGCTGTTCTTAGCTGGGCTATAATCGCGTAATCGGTGACTAAGCCATTAAAGAAGAATATATAAAGTCGTTTGTGTGAGTAGATATTGCTGACAACGTTTCTGATGAAATTTTGCCCAATGGTACCATGGCACTTTCGTATAAATTCCAGGGAGAATTTGGGAGGAGAGACAGGTTTAACCAGACTGAAAAATATCTTAGAATTTCACTTTACCACCTTATGTGACAATCGGTTTTGCAACTGGGTGAGATTGGTTTTTCTATCCTCTTAAATCCAATATTAAGGCTTCTGCTATTCTGGTTATATTTATGACATTACTTATTATTTATTAATAACGGTAGACATGTAAAAAGTCTTGAGAAACCTTTAAGAAAACTAAGTAATTTGATAATGTAAGAGTGTTTTGTGTTATTTTCATTCTAAATTTGGCACTTCCAAACATTTCTTCAAATAACACAGGTCTGAGTAAGCATATTATAGCTCGGATCTTAGGATGAATTTTACCCAACTTGAACCTAAATAATCATAGTTCGTTGTTATTATACAAGTGTCTTTAATGATCATCAACATTCTACTCACCGTTGAATTTCTGGTCGCAACCGTCGCAGGGACAACGAAAACCACTAGAAGCCGTTTCACCCAGCTGCTTGCGAATAAGTGTAGGTGCCACACTGGACAAATGCGTCACCGGAGGTGTAACTGCTGGTTGCACCGAAGAACTGAAGGTAGAATTAAGGGCGGCAGCAGAGAGACACGCTTCAGCGCTTGCAGCCGCCATTAAGGGAGGCAGCGCATCCTCCGATGGCGGCGAAGAAAACAGCGATGAAGCCAACGACGATAAAGAACGCAATGACGAAGTTATTGATGATGACTGCCCCAAGCTGTCCACTGGCGATAACAACGCATTTTTGTGCGCCCTAATAGCAGTAATTTCTGTAGCGTCATCAGGCAGCGCACGGCATGCTTCAATTGATGCAGCCAAATCGTTAGCATCCACTGAAGTGGAGAACACACCGGACGAAAGCGATGAGGCAGGTGTTAGAATTGAATGCGCCGAGGCAGTGATGTCACTGCGACTGCCACTGCTGCAGCTGCTACCAATGCTGTTGTTGGAGTTTTTCCTGCTACTTGCCAGCGAGTCTCCGCTGCACTGCCTCCGAATGGCAGATGTGCGGAGCATTGCATCTGTTGCTGCTGCTGGCTGGCGGATTTTATTTAAATATTCAGTGGAAGAAGTCAGCGTGTGGCTGGCGGGACGGCGCCTGTCCACATACAGCAACGTGGACGATGGACAATTGCAGATTTCATGCTGTTTGTTGTTTTTGTAGTCATTAAATATGCTTTGAGACGGCGATTGACTTCGCAGCATGGACGGACAACGTTCCACGGCGATGGCGATGACATTGGCTGGAGGTGCCGCTGTTGACTGCCTGTCAGTACTGCTGGTGGTAGGCGAGAGCTGCTGTCGCTGCCTTTGATTTCGCTGCAGCTGCCACGTACTCAATTGTGAATGCGGTTGAACGTGCTGCTGCTGTGGCGATATTTTTCCATTTATCCATTCTTTAACTGCTTCGAATTCTTCTTTTTCCGCTTCTTCTCCATTGGCTACTGGCTGCTTGTTTTCGCACTCTGATGTGGAGTCATTTGTATTCGGTGTTGCTGTTGGTGGCGGTGTTGCTGTTACAAGCTTTGACACGGCATTTACCTGCACCGACTCGCTTGTTGTTGTTGTAGCATTTAAAATTATTTTCCTTGTTGTCGCACAATTCAATGGCATTGTCATCGCCAACCTCGTCTCGGGCTGCTGTTGCGTGCGCATTAACAATGCGCGAGTTTTCGTTTCGGCTGCTGTGTCTGCCACCGCCTCACATATGCCGGCGGCGCCAGCGCCGCCATTGTTGTCACTCAAAGTCGAGTGGTTTTGTGAATTTTTCATCACCGTTTCCACTTCGCTGCTGGCATTTCGCACAGATCGATGCGAAATGGATGGTGTTGGCGATGGCTGGTGTGGATGCGCGCTGGAGGGTTCCACATGAACGTGCGTCACTGTTGCTGGGGTCGTTGCACCAGCAGACGTCGCCAATCCATTATCAATGCTGTTCATACCAATCACTTTGCCATTCAGTTGTCCACTTGTAGCTGCAACACTTGTTGAGAGATTCTCCGTGGATGTGGCTCTGGCATGCCATAATTTCATTAGAATCTTTTTTCTTTTACTCGCACGCTTCGTCGCACACATTTCCGTTGCCACAGCTGTGTCTGCCAATGGCGCATCCACCTTGGCGGCGGTGTCTGTTTCATTTGTCAAGCTAAAATGTCCCAGCTGCCCACCACCGGCTGCCACATGTTTACCCGCACACGATGCCGCTCCGCTTCCCAGTGTCGCTTTCAGCCAGCTCCGCTTTGCGTAGATACTCGCTGTTCTAACTTCCGTTTGCGCATCGCAGTCATCAATCGTTTGTTTGGCCGCCTCGGCGCGTCTCCAACGTCTAGTCAGCACTTTCTCTGCACATTGTGCGCCCGGTCCGAATAACTTCTGGCGTAATTTGTCTTCATTGCCGCTACACAAATTGTATGCGCTCGTGATAGCTGTGTAGATTTGTTCGGCAATTAAAGCGCGCTGTGGCGTGTAGCGGTCCCGGCAGACGGGACAACGTTCGGCGCGTATGCGACAGTCGAGGCACAGCAAGTGACCGTTCTGACATTGCATTACCGGCGGTGTGATGCTGTCCAAACAGACGGGACACTCGATTATGGTCAATATGGATTGTACGATGGTGGCGAGTCGTTGCAGTGTGCGTGGCATTGGCGCACAGCAAATACTCTGTGTGTTAGTGGTGGTGTTGTTGTTGGAGTGGTCATCAGGAGTGTGAGCGCGCGTTGTAAAATATAAAAAATTGCAATTATTTATATTGTAAGTAGAGGAAGTTCGAATGAATGATTGAAAGTCTATGTAGTGATTGAATGCTGAGTGGAATTGCGTTGTTTTCGACTGGTCATTAATTATCGGACAAAATTTGTTGATTGCTTTAGATAATGTGCTTTTTAAATTTTATTTTAAAATAAGTAAAAATATTTGGTTTTTTTCTCAAGATTATATCTAATGTGATGAGGTTGTTCTTAAAATCTGAAATGTAGACGAGGAATAGAGGAATCGTTGGTGGTTTGGTTGAAAAGGTTTGCTCCTTAGCAAACACTCGTAATAATATATTACAGACAGTGAAAAGAAAGTTTTCAACAATACATATTTCCTAACAGACCCCCCTTCTTTTCGTTGTAAATCCTTTATTTTGAAGCTATTGAAAACTTTGGTTCTCCACATAAGCTCAAGGTTCTCATGAATTGTAAAACCGGAGCCTTTCTGTTCAATTGTATTTCTGGTAGATGTCTACTATTGTAATGTTTATGTGTTAGGTTCACTAACTAAACTAAACCTTTGGGTTCTCCTATTTTGATATAAAAAAAAAAGAGAAAAAAAGTAATATTTTTGGTTCGTATATAACAGTTACCCAACAGATCGTGGACTTAGTACCAATAGTTGCCGCTACTTTTTGTGCTACTTAAAATACTTCTGTCGCCTACATGACAATTTTTCTCTAATGCAGTATTCATCAATACTATTATTTTTTTTTTACTCCACAATATGTAGTTCTGGTAAGTCTATGCTATATTTAAACACATTTTCTTATTTCTATGGTATGGTGTCATCCAGAAAAAACTCCCATATTTAAATTTTCTTCCGATAGAGTATCTGACAAACTCTTTGAGAGTTAAAATATTTACTTGAAATGTTTTTGTGGGATCACTGTGTCGTAGATGCTACTCGTGAGGGTATTTGCGCTACTCACATACCCACGATAGGTATATGTATGGGAAGAAATCACTGGAGATGAAGTGCAGTGGGCGCTTCTACGGAATGGGTCGCAGTTAGAAGGGAAGTTTGGAGGTGATTTTTTTTGTTAGGGGTCCTACGTTAATCTTAGCTTATTCTCTGCCTGACCTCTGTAGTGCTTGAGGCAGAAGTGGCTGCTATTAAGGTAGCGGTAGATGTATTGCTACAAAATACAGCCACTTTCAGGGAGGTTAGCATTAACTCCGAAAGCTGAGCGCAAATACTACGCGCTGGGCACGCAAACTGTGCGCTTAAAACAAGTAAAAGAGTCCCTCATCTCACTAGAAATGGCATCAAGGTATAGTGTAATTGTTGGCAGCTGCAAAGCTGACGAGCTTGCCGCGTTTTTATTGGAAGGGAACCAAGTTGGAACTCCATCTTTAATCTCAACTTCTAGCTCTGACCCAATGAACCTCACGTGTGCTTAACAGACGCTAGTGAATGACCTGCTTCTGTGCAACTACATGACTCTTTAATACTAGACTAGAACGCAGTAGACTCTTCGAGCTATTTACTTACTTAAACAAAAATCATCTTGCCACAATCTGAGCAATTCTTGCTGGACATTGTCCAATAGCCATTCCTTTGGAAAGACCAAAAATCTTGATCGAACATTTAAGGATTTTCCCCTCCATTTCGCATCCTTTACAAGACTTAGGTTGAAGCATTTCAGCCTCACCATTGGTGAACCAGGAGACGTAACAGAAACTGACACTACTCGCCTCAACAAATTTTTGCCCGGGCTCAAAGCGCTTTGTCAATCTGTGAGGGTGTTATGATTCATTATATAGGAGTTTTAGATTACATATTGAATCTGTTGTGAACTAACCTAGCCTTTAAAAAATTCAGATGTAGATGGAATGATTCCGTATGTGATTGATATAAAAACTTAGCGGACTGAATTCTTTTGGATATAAACTAATCGCAGAACAAATTCTGCAGTGAAATCGCTTGACTGGAAGTGAGAACGTAAATAATATTTTAATAAATATGTTTTGTTTAGTTTTTCGAAATTATATCTAAGAGAAGAAGAAGCATACAGAGTGCATATATTGTCTATAACTAAAGTGCTTTTTTTTAGATATTATTATCCTCACTTTAATTCTGCCAAAATGGAGGATAATCCTGAAGATTTAATACTGTCTTCCGCTCTTATAAACCAAATTTACTGCTCTTTATGAATCCCTACTTTCATTCAACAAAATTGTGAAAATTATTTATTAAAATTCCAGTCGACATTCTATTTAAACCTTCTGCACCATTCTCAATAATTTCTCGATTTCTTGATTTTTCTATTTCTTTTTGCACATATCGACCACGATTTGGTTTACAGCGAGACTAATCACTTTTCAACTGCAGAATGAGAGCGCTTGCAAGGTAGACTAAGCAGCTTTCGCTTTCACTTTGCTATTATTTCCACCCAAACTATGCCATAATTTACTTAAATCAAATCACACATGCAGGCACACACACACATATATTATACATATATATCTAAAGGCTAAAATGTGAAAATGTTTGTGAGGATGACATGTGAATGCAAAATTTACCTCCGGGTCACATTTGAAATCACTACCACAGTTCCAGAGCAGCAACGTGACATGCCCTGATTTGGCTTGAACCAATTTTGCAATATCCGTTATGCGCAATCCCAACACGTCTTCGCCATTAACCTAAAAATGAAATTTTAAAAATTGTATTTTCCGCATTTCGCAAACGAACAAAACGAGCAACGCGCCCGAACACCCGCACACACAAACACTCATATGTACATACACGTGGGTATTAGAGTTCACATATGCAAGTGGAAATAGAACGGCATAAATCACACAAACACACACACACGCAAATCCAGTAATAGAACTAAATGTGAAGCAAAGCGGCAAAGATGCAAGTTATATACTATTATATATATATACACATGTGTGTCAGTTATCATATGCTAGTGCATATGTATTTGTGATGAGCCAGAGTAAATTTGTGGTTATATTTACCTGCAAGTTGGTCGTGTTATTTCTGCACGTTGTTGTTGTTGTTGTCATTGCGTCCAAATTGCTGCAGGTTGTTGCAGCATTCACCAAATCAATGACAACACTACAACAACACAATACAACAAAACCGCAAAGCTTGCAGAAGGGTAGCTGGGACTATATTAGTATAGCATAGCATTAGGTTAGCACAATTTTGATTTACTCAGTAAGCCGGAGTAGTTTCTCAGTGCTAAATAAGATTTATTTATTGTTGAAAAATACACAACGTTTTTTTTTTTTTTTAATATTTTGAAAAAGCATTGTGGTTGCAGTTTACACCATGTTTCAATTGCAAACGAAACCGATGATGGATAACGAAAAATCTCGTTAATGCAAACTAAATATACTTTCGAGCATGAGAAGTTTGAATTCGGTATTTACTAAAGATGAATAAGCTTGCAATGAAGAAATACCTTATTCGATGAGCATAATTCCCTCGTTGAAGACTGCATATTGTGAAACCCGAGTATTCAATTTTCAGATATCGTAATTCAAAAAAAAAAAAAAAAAAAAAAATTTAATTCGCGCCTATTTTTGTACAATATCCAACTAAACTAGATACTCAATGCATACAACATAGTTTTTATAGACTCATAGACCTCAAGATATTCATAACCGTAATCAAATATCGGTAATAAGTAATTTTTTGCGAAGAGCCTCATTTTCCTAGATGGATTTATGATTATTATTATCGCTGGCAGTGAATGAGCAGTATGCGATCTCACATCGGAAGGATTCTTGTTTCGTTTTAAACTGCCAAGAAGAAGTACATGGAAGAGCCAAGATCGCTCAAATTTACCACATTTATGAGATAAAAATAAAAATAGTCCAGAATTGGAAATAATGTCATCTGTATTTCTTGGTGACTGAAGGCTTTCCCTTCATCCATAATAATTAATTTCCAGAAGTTTTTGAAAAAAAAACAAGTAAAAAATTTAACTCCGGCTACACTGTAGCAATGACACCCCTTAAGCGTACATTTTTTTAGCTTGAAAACTTAGAAAAAGATATTTACCTTGCACTTGATCAATCAGTTTATATGACAGCCAAATGCTATATTAGTACGATATCAATTCCCACAAATGAGTAGGTTTTTGGCGCGAAAAATTCAGATTGATATCTCAAAAACTAAGGCATTGAAAGTGTACATAGAGACGAACTTGGCTATGTATATAGACTCAGCTGTGGCCCTGCCGATTATTTAGATGAATAATATATATGTAGGTTGCCTTTTATATTTCCGGAATCGAGAACAAGAATAAATTTTAATTATCAAAAATCGATTTATTGTTTTGAAAAATATTCTCCATTAAGATCTATACACTTTTCCATGCGCTTGAACCAATTATCGTAGCACTTATGCCACTCTGATTGAGGTATCTCCAAAATATTTCTGTTGAACGCATCAATCACCTCTTCATGTGTCGAAAAACGTTGACCTCTTTGTTTTTTTTTTCGAACGGCAATAAAAAAAGTTATTCTGTACAATGCGGTCAGGATTGTACGGAGGATGACTCATAAAATCACCGTTTTGAGTGCTCAAAAATGCATTTTCAGTCAATGTGTTGATGGTTGGTTTTCTGATTTCTTAAAGTACAACTGGCAAACAAATCTTTGTATAACACACATAATTTACTGTTTTGCATTATACCGATGTTATGTTTGCCAAACGTCCAGTTTTTCCAAAAATACAGGCAAACAATTGCTAGAAGTGCGTGAAAAATCTTTTGTTAGATTCGGCTTATCTTGAAATATTTATACAGTCGAGTGGTGTTTATTTTCGGACTTATATGTACCAATCATCCATTTAACACCCCTCACGATGTAATAGACGTGTTGTGAAGCACCGCTCTCGTATTTTGTTAACATTTCACTAGACCAATTGACACGAGCCGTTTTTTAACGATTAAAGAAATTTATTTACAGTCAAATATTCATGCAATATTAAATGTATGCTAGTCCCATTAATGCCCATATAGTAGCAATCTCACGCTAGGTCACACTACAATCTGGCAATATCAGTTTGCGCACAGCATCAATAGTTTACGGAACAACAAGAGACTTTGAAAAACTTTCCCGAAACTCGTCTAGCAGTGATCCACGACCTCGATTGAATTCACTATACTATCGATGGACACTAGTATTTTATATAGTTTCATCATCAAAATGTAATTAAGTTCATCCCTGAACTTTTGATGAGCTAATCCGCGAATATGTTTGCGATTTGATTCCATTTTCTGGTTTATGTTACTATAAATAACACAAATATCGTTTGAGTGTCAAAACATTCTGAGTATGTATACCATTAAAAATGTCAAACTTTACGATAAAGTTGTGGGTTTAAAGATTGCGACGATAGGGTTGTCAAATGCCGAAATATAAAAGCAACCCACATATGATATGCGACATTACCTTCTGGGTGTTACAAGCAGGGTTAGTTTAGGTTAAATAAATTAATTATAGGCAATAAAAATTTCTGATTTTGTTCTAATTTGGCTCTTTCATATTTTTTGTTTCTTCCCTAATGATAATTGAATATGCTCTCTTTATAGTGTATCGCAACAAAAACGTACTATTAACCATTATGAGGCGTAAAAAAAGTTAAAAATTGTTTAAGATCAGAAGTGACCAAACGATTTAACTCCGGAGCCACATGGTAAGAACATCAATAAAAAGTGCAACATTGTGGTTCTCAGAATGATAAAAAAGACCATCGTAGAACTCTATTGCAACGGAGCTAACAGCAAAGTAATGCCTGCAAAAATTAACTGGGCTAAACATGTCAGCCGGTAGTAAATTAATGACGATTATTCTATTCCTTTCGAGTGAGCCATCGTGATCGAAATGCCGTCAGCCAATTCGCTTAGAGATTTTTTTCAAATAAAATGCTGTGAAAAGACTTTTGACTTTAAGGTTGAACTGATTGAAATTTATATTTTGCGGTTTCTTTTTAAGAGCTTATGTTTAAATAAAGAGTATGAATGGCAAATTAAAAAAAAAAAAAAAAAAAAAAAATTAATAACAGGAAGTTTTGAAACTTTTAAATAAAAAATAAATTGAACACTTAGAAATTGCTCAGAATGATCTGTGTTCCACTTACGCAATTTTATAGTAAACCAATCGACCCGCTCTAATATATATATATATATATATATACATATATATACAACGTATGAATGCACAGCTAGCTCTTTATGTGATTCTACGCACACAGGCATATCAGCTATATATCCTGTGTAGCATTTTGACAGTCGCTTTGACACGTTCGTTCGGATGTATCGATCGGAACGCTTAATGATTTGTTCAGTGTCAAAACCGCAAAATGGAAAATCGATGGCTTAAATTGACGACATTTCGCTTTGAAAGTCAAAACAATGACACCGAATTGTTGCTATTACTTTTGTAACATAGCTCCAATTATATTTATGTATACACTTATATTTATCTGCTGATTGTCATGTCATACCTGGGTCAGAGTGCAATTATTTCTAAGCGATAATTGTACCGGTACACCTTCATACCATTTGCGTGTTATCGTTTTATCCATTTGTTTATTTACCGTGAAGTGTCAAAAATGTAAAAAAAGTGAAAAAAGCTTGGCTTTCCAACTTTTCGCTACTAAAAAATTGAAACTCAACTGCCTTATCGACTGCACGGGCTAAGCCCACTTTAAGCTTACTTGAGAGGTACTCACATACATACACTCGTTTGAAAGCTTTTCCATCGAGCTAAATGTTTAACAATTTGGAAACCAGTTTGTTAATTTACACAGCTTCCGCAGCCACTGGTTATTGTTGTTATACTTTGCTGTTGTTCCTAATGTTTTTATTCGTTGGCTAATTGCTTAGACGCATTTTTTGGTTGTATGCTACGTTTGTATACATATGTATGTATGCAGTGTATAATTAAGTAAGTAACTGGTTCTAGTTTTCTCCCTGAACCTGACCTTGTCTACGATTAAGTGCCCATTCAACTTCTATGCTGCGTAGTGTGCGTATTCGAAGCGTGTTGGTGCAAGAGCGGCTGAAAGGTGGCAAGAGGGTTTCATTACATGCCTGAGCAAGCGTTTCGCTAAATGTTGAAAATGCGGAAAATACATGCGTAACACATTTCAAATTGAAAAAAAAAAATATATATATATATATATGGAGTGACCTTTGTTAATAAATTGTTTTATATAAAATGTTCAGCTGAGAATGTTCTACCCACTTATAATTTAGTCGTGATTTTATGAAGAGTAACTATGTGTAGTTATGTGAGTACGGAGTTTTGTTAATGGAATCGTTATATAAATATTTATTTTTAACGGAAGTGATTATAGGTTTTGTAATGAAGATCAAATTTTTTTAGTTTTTAGCCTGGCCGAACGATTGATTCTACATTTTGCTGTCAGCAACTGATAAGAATGAAGCAAGCAATCAAAAAAACAAAAAAAAAAAAAATGGCCAGAACTGATCAACAGAAAAAGCTTCGTCTTTCATCAGAACACCGCTAGACCACACACATCTTTAATGACTCGGCAAAAACTGGGAGAGTTTGATTGGGAAGTTTTGATTCAAACACCATATAGACCTTACCTTGTAACATCGAACTCCCAGAACTCCCTAAATGGAAAAAAGTTCGCTTCAAGAGAAACCTGAGAA